CTGAAAAGCAGAGAAGGATCGAGGGAGTTGAGAATTATAGGATTGGAAGAAAGTGACTCTGTTTTGGTTGGTGGTTGTTTGTGATATTTAACTGAAATTCGTAGAATCATAGAATCATAGAATGGTTTGGGCTGGAAAGGACCTTAAAGATCATCTAGTTCCAACCCCCCTGCCATGGGCAGGGACACCTCCCACTAGACCAGGTTGCTCAAAGCCTCATCCAGCCTGGCCTTGAACACCTCCAGGGATGGGTCATCCACAGCTTCTCTGGGCAGCCTGTTCCAGTGCCTCACCATCCTCACAGTAAAGAATTTCTTTGTTGAGTAAAGTTTGCAGAACTGGACAATCCTGTATCTTTCGTTGCAGTCAAGACAGAAGTAATGGCCATTTAAAGGAAATTATATTCTGGACCTTTTTTACTGAGATTTGGGTAGTGTAGTGTGCTCTGAAATTCTAGAAAGCAAACAGAAACCTGATCATGGGCCTTTTTGGCACCTGGTCTGCTGAGGGAAATACAAACCAAAAAGGCTTATAAAGATTTTTTAGCAGTTTCCAGTTACACAATTTCCTCACCCTGTTTTTTGAAATTTCCATTAACACCTGTACTCAGATAGGATTCTAATTGTTTTCCAGTTCCCATTTATACTATGCAATTAAACTGACAGACTATACAGAGTGATGTTTAAAGCTGTCAGCAATTCATTCTGAGTCCATAAAGTCAACACTTGCCTGCCTGTATCCTGGTAGAGTTGCGGTGGGGAGGTGACTCAGCTATCACTTAATTTTGTGGTTTCTCACAAGTGAAGTGTATTCCAGTTATGTAGTCCTTCATCGGCTGTTGTTCTTGGCCACTGTCCCCCAGGAAGCGAGATGACATACCATGCCTTGGCAATTTCTCTTGGGATTGCTGGACAGACTCCAACCAAGCGTGGGCTGCTGAGCACACTGCATGTTTCTCCCCGCTCGGACTCCCTGGGGCTGATTCTCTCATGGGGAATGGAAATGTCATTTAAAAACACCAGGGTATCAAAGAATTTGCTCAAGTTAATAAATGAATATATCTTGTTGAGACTGGAGGTAGGACTTTGTTGATCTTCCTACTTCTTCCAGTTGGTTGAAGGCTTAGTCAGCATCATGGCAAGTTTCTGCCCTTTATCACATGGTGTTTCAGGTTTGGCACAGCCATGTGGCAGAAGATGCAGGTAAACAGACCAGTTTACAAAATCCAATGTTCCTTTCAGTGCCATCTGTGAATACAGATCCTTGACATTTTCTGATAATTTTATCTCAGAAAATGGATTTTCTTCACCAGAAAACATCTTACAAGCCTTCCCTTCAGATCAAAGTAAAATTTGAAATAAGTATTAGGATTGTTTAACTTTGCAGAGTGCCCCTTGACTTCAGTTAAGTACATGCCAAAGACACTTGTTTCAGGATTAAGCCCTGCAAACTCCGCCAGTTGGGATTTTAGTGCATACAGCCCTCAAGCTGTGTTGAAATACAAGTTGAAAATTCCTTCAGAGTCACTCCATACTTGTTTTCTTATTTTTTGCAGTGTGGTTGTGACCCCGCAGCTCATTTATTCCACAACAGCAGTGATGCAGAAATGGATGGCTGCTGCCACCAGACCCTTGTTACAGATCTCTGCTTCTCTGAAGGGCAGCAGCTGATAAACGATCTTCTTAATGAGATGACATAGGCAAAGTGGTCATTTACCTAAATCTATGAGGTCCCTCATCCTCCTGAAAATATGAAATATGAGAAAGGAGGGAGTGAAGGAGATTTTGTGATTCTGGTACTTCTCTCTCTTTCTTTCTCTACTTATGCACATTTTAATCTGGGCTTGAAAAAAACCCCTCACAAATGCAAAGGAGCAAAAGTTTCATGCCCTTTTCCTTCAAGTTCTTTTTGGAAGGGTTGTAAGTAGTTAAGCTGGCTTTTTTTTGCTATGTAATTCCAAATTGCATGTTAAACCCTTCTTTTTCAGCTAATGACCTTTGCGTCTGTGACATTGCGTGCGCAACATTAACAAGCAATGAATAAAGACAACTTCTCTCTATTTTTAGGAGGGGAAAGTTGCCAAACTTCAGATAAATTAGACATCTCATGCATTTTTTTCATAGAAATGAGTAATAACTCTTCTTCTGCAGAACACACAGCAAATTCAAAACTTCTGCTTATGAAAGTGCTCTGATTTGATGTGTATTCAGATCTCATGGATTTGTATCAATGTCAAGAATGTTTTTTTCCAATGATGGGTATAGGAATTGCACCCCACGGGGAAATGAAAGGAAGAGGAATAAAACTACTTCTCTGTAACAGAACAAGTAGTAGCAAAGCAAAATCCCTAACAGATCTTGAGGTGAATACTCTGCTTGAATATATAATGACTTCATCCTTATATTGGATCACAGATGTCACTACTGTGTCTAAGTATGTTTTATTGTTTGCAGATTTGTTCTTAAGTCCACTTTTCCTAATGAATAATTTCACTCATTCAAGCTCTTTGGGTCAAGAATAAGCATGACTTAGACCAGAGAAGAAAGGATGTGTCAGGGAATAATTAAGAGCTTCCAGACGAGAGTAGGATGAGCACAATTCTGGCTGCCCTTGGAGTATGCTCAAATAGGGTGTTTGTGACTGTGTCATGATTGAATGTCCTCATCTTTTTTTGCTGTGCCTCCAAACATGGCTGAGGGGGCAATGCAGAAAGACTGCTCGTGGAAAACCAGTCTTTTGGTGGCTGGGGCCTACCATTGCTCCTCTAGACCCATTAACCTCTGTCTTCAGATAAGCTGGGCTCTGCCTCAAGGAAACCACGATTTAGCTATTAAGCACATGTATTAAATCTCCTTTAGTATCAAAGGGAGGATGCCAATATAGTGGGGACCTAAGTCCACACAGCTGTAGAGAATGAGTTTACCAGTACTGGTGAGGCTAACTGTATCTGACACTCATTTTTTTACCTTCAGATTCAAAGAGGCTACATTTTCTTAAGCTTACTCAAGTTATATGTTCAAGCTTTCCCTTGCGTCCATGAAGGGTTGGGGTGCTTTATTTTTTAATGAAAGATCAACATGTTAAATCATCACAAGACCAAGATCTGGATAAGTCTTGGATATCTACCTGTTTTGTCTCTACCATAACATAGCCCTAAACTGAAACCTTTTGAGTTGTCAAGTCTAGTATGAAACAGTACGTATCCTAAGTCTGTTGCAGAATTCATAAAGAGTGTCCAGCTGGGAATGACAGAAGGGAAACCCCTTCTTTCTTGTCCTTCACTTTCTGTTCATAACATAATGTTTCTTTTTCCTTTAAAAAAACCCCCAACAAACAACAGCACAAAAAACCCTAAACACAAAAACCAAAAAAAACAACAGAATATTAAATCTTTTGGGGTTACCATAGGTGCTGCCATCAGGGAGCTGCCACAGAAAGTTCTGCCATGTGTGTAGTGTAGCTTTTATGGTGATGGCTGTGTCTCAATAAGTTGTTTATTTAAGAGATTATTTAGGTTCTGGTACTGTGTCCAGATTGTCTATAAAAGCTGGTAATGAAAAGGACTTGTAAATGTCCCAAAAAGGAGATGGAAACAACACTCGTTTTCTTCTGCTATTTAAAGTGCTCCTGACCCTGAAGCATATTTCTATAAGGCCAATGGGAGCAGAAAAATGTAAATGTTGTACAAAAAGAGGATCAGACCTATAAACTCTCCATGCCTGATCCTATTAGGACATTATTCAGTGGAATTCATTGCAAGACTTGACTGACCATCTGAAAGGCAGACAGAGCACTGGAAAACACTCTGCCAGACCTGGCCCAAACCCACCCACCTAATTAGCATCAAAGCATTGTATTTGCATCATGCTCAATGACTTCAGGGCTTCTTAAGCAAACCAGTGCTCAAACTATGGAAGCAGCAAGTAAGGGTTTGTTTACAACCCTGATTACTGGTTTAATTAACTCATTTAGATCAATTTGGGTTGCCAGTCTGTACCACTTCCAAGGTCTGTTGTAAGACTAGGTCTACTGAATTGGACATGTGTAAATCAAATTGTATGGTAACAACAGTGGAGTGAAAGGGGTGCTCAGATGGACACTGTGGGTTTTGAAAATGAAACAAAGCTCTTTCCTTTTCCTGAACTGTGCTCCAGCTAGAGGCAGCAGGAAAGTTGATCCTTTCTCCTCACTGGTTGGCTCTAGCTTTTCTCCAGCAGGCCTGCGTGGTGAGCAAGCTAGTCTGGATCTTTCCAGAGAGCCCTGTGTGGGGACTCCAGGCAAAAAGAGGAGATATTTGGGGCTGTAGGTTCCCAACCCAGGCTGGTGACCAGTAACAAAGTAATGCCCAAGGTCTGGTGTAGTGCTTGTGTTGTTGATTCCATCTGTTCCAAATGGTGACTGGTGGGGAAAAAGGTGGCTTTAGATGGATAACTATTGTAAGCCTAAGCACATGCTGCTACAATGCTGAAGACATTAGAAAATATGAAATCGGCCATCCTGTTACCTGTGCATTGTATTTTTGTACACAGAGATGTAATGCTTAAGTTGATGAACAAATTACTTAAAACACAAAGCAGGATGGGAAGGATTGTCATGAAGGAACACTACAAATTTTCGACATGACCTGTATAAGAGGGATGAAAAAGTGGTTTGTGTCTCTTTGTGTAATGGGCACTTAATGGTTTGAAATAAAATGTATAGGTGTTAGTGGCATCCTTTTTCCCCTTTAATGCCAGTTGGAGAGAAGTGAGATTGTGGCATGAGTGACCTTGTGTTAAATAGATTGGCACTTACTGGATACAACCAAGACATTTATGGGCCCATCTCTGTCAATGTGAAAAGTTTTCTTTCAGGTACACTGTTGAAAAAATTACTTAGAAAGGAATTATCACATTTTGTTTTATGTTACTGCATTTTTAATATAAATAATCTAAGTTAAACTGTGAAAAAAGTCTGAGACAGTTCTATATAGTTCTTCTGAAGCTGTTTTGTTTTTCCAGATTTAGTTGTAGGTGCATTTGGAGCAGGAAAAGCAGTTGTTTACAGGTACGTAGTAAATACAGTTTTTTATTTTACAGCTTTGGTGGGAGATCTGCAAATAAACTAATTTCACATTCTTGTGTTTCCCTGGCACAATGTGTAAAAGATGCTCATTACAGATGATAAATTAAGCATCTAGTGAGAAACAAATGCTTTTTTCCAATGATCAAAACTTGTCATTTTCAATGAAAATTTCCATGTTTTTAGTCTCAGCTCAAGAAACTTCTGGAATGTTTGACTCCTCAGTTAGTTTTAAATAAGACAAGAGGAGAAAATGCTATCTTTTCTGCCTTTAAAGCAATGTCAATTGCTTTAAACAGTGACTGTCCCTATACAGTCAAAAAGCTCTTGCTACGGCTCTTCAGAGAGAAAATTAAAAAGCATAACATTGAAAATCATTCCTGGGGGAATGGTACTTTTACGAAATTTTCAAGTGACTATTCAGAGGTCATGTACAAATGATTATTCAGAAGTCATGTACAAGACATGAACTGTTTATTGAAAATGAAGAATGCTGCTTTTAGCTTCAGTTTAAAAAAAAAAGTACGAGGTTCCATTTTACAAATCACAAAGTTGTTGCTGACTATGAATTTTCACTAAATGCACTGTTTGATTAGAGGTATAAATTAAAACTACCAAATACCTGAACAAAAATCTGCTGCTGCCCTCTTGGTCCAGCCATGCCAACAGTTCTTTGCATTTAAATATTCACCATCTTTTGCTGCAACAATGTGGTCATATTTCTTGATTCCTGTCTGTCCTCTTGTTGTCTGTATTCCTAACAGTACCTACTGAGAGAAGGCATGTTCTGCTTCCCAACTGAATGTTTGTCAAAGCGTAAGATTATAAAGCAAGAATGTTGGCTCATTTGAGCTAAAACTGTAGATGCACTGAGTAGACCTGATTTTCCTACTGCCCTGTTAAGAATCATACGAATACTTTGCAATGCATCACTTTGCAGTATCATGAATGACTGCACAGGATGTGAAACATCGGGGAACTAGATACAGTGTGTATTTTAGATAGCAATAAAAAATGTGTTCTATTTAATTTAAGAAAGTGAATAGCAGGAGGCTCTCAGCTTTCCGTTTCCTGGCCAGAGTGTATCGAATATGCAACTTGTCATATTGTAGAAACAGAATTTTATTAACTGAAATATGCTAGAACAAAGGTTCTCCCCATTGCAAAAAAAAAAATGAAGAAAGTAATTTTATATTTTAATGTCTTGCTGAGGTAATCTAAAGCAGTAATCATAAAAGCTCAGCTGTAGATAAAAACGTGAGGAAAGTAATTTTGTAATAAGCTAGTTTGGCCAGAATGATGTAAGTTACTCTAAAGCAGTACTGCTGTCTTAAAAAAAAATATTTTAGACCCTTTCTTGTTTTCATTTGTCTTCTAAATTGCTCTCACTTATAGATTATCTCATTACTTAATAACAGGTTGCTTTTCAGAGGGATCTGAAAATCACCATGACTATATATTTACATACTCAGCAGAATTTTGTGATGATTATTCCTGGTTTCCAAAGTCAGTTGTCTCAAGACATGTCAGACAGAGTTTACTTTATTATTGGCTCAAGATATTCTAGATCAACTGCTACTTGAACCAAATCATATTCATTTTTTTAAGAACATTAAACAGAGATAGCAAGTCTGAATGTGTCACTGTTAAGTGAAGGCAGTATAAAACAAATCCAACAGGATAAAATAATGGCCAAAGGACTGCTGTAAGTCCCAAAAGGCAGAATCTGTCCCTTTGTGAAAACCCAGTGTGACGAAATGTGTCTGACGTGCCTCAGTCCCAGGACACACATATTGTTAACTATAGGATCCTGCTTCAGTGATGCTGTTAACCTGTGATTTTTTTGTGAAGAACTTCCAAAATGTCATAGTAGGAGGTATCACAGTTTCTGACCAAAAAAACCCAAGTTCTTTTGGATAGGAACAGCATTATAAAAGCCTTTTCTCCCAAGTAACCCTACATTTCCAGCTTCTTTGTGGCTATCTCAGTTAAGAGTTTTCTCTGCTGCAACTCAGATACTTATGTGCTGCTTCTGCATGCAGTGAACCCTATTTCTGTCCTTCAGAGCCAGACCTGTTGTGACAGTGAATGCTCAGCTCATTCTGAACCCCATGATTGTGAATCCAGACAATAAAACTTGTCAGCTCCCTGACTCTCAGCTTTTGGTGGCCTGGTAAGTTCATGATTAGACCAAAAAAAAAAAAAAAAAATTCCTCATCCTCTTTCTCAAATAACTTCCTAATCCTAACTTTTCTTGCACCTTTTGGTTGAACATGTTCAAAGTTTAAAAAAAAGTTCAAAGATGCTATGAGCGCAACAACAACAAAAAAAAGCTTATATAGAACAGAGTTATTTTTTGATATCTTCCCGTACTTCACAGGTTCTCAAAAGAAGTAGCTAAGAGCTGAGTCCTTTGATATGCTGAGTCTCCTTCTGCATAGGAGGATACTCAGTGTCTCCTAGGATCAAGCTGCAAATTCATATGCAGTATATGAGTACAACGTGAAAGAGCTAAGAGACAAAACGAAGAAACATTGATCTGTCAAAACATACATCTTTACTGAGAAGATGTAACAGTGACAGTGATGCAAAGAGTTGTTGGGCACTACCATTTTCTGTTAGAGAAAGAGAGATCTCTTTGTGGAAGAGAGAAGATATCTGGCTGGCCACCCTGAGAGCAGTTCACAGTTGCTGGCTGCCATTGGTCAAAGGAAGGCTTTTTTTAGTGTGTCATACAGGACAATGTTGTATATATTTTAAAAGAGAAACCTTTCACCACAGTAGCATTTAACTTTGGAAAGAAAAAGTACATTCAAATACTTGAAACAAATTAAAGCAATTTAAGACCAGTTACAAATATAAAATGTTTGCAGGACAGTTGGAGACTATCAAATAGCACATAATACCACATAAAGGCGCATTTACTGCATAGGGAAAAAGTTACTTAGAAAGGACCCCAGGAACAGTTGATAAAAGAGGCTATTACAAATACATAAGATACTGTTTAAAAATGGAAATCATAACAAATGAGGAAACTAAAAACAAAACAGAGCCTAAACACGTGCAAGTTGAATATAAAATACCAGTAAATCCTGCCAGAGAGACTGTGAGGAACAGATTTCTAAGACATAAAACCTAGTAATATAATCTTATTTAAACATATTAGTGGCAGAAATATTGCCAGGATGTGGGCTGGATGAAAAGAATATCAATGTGTAGAGGAAGACTCCAGAAGATAAGGTGACTGCAGAAAATTTGCACTTTTAAACTAGAGGTGGTCAGAGGGACTCCTCACCCTGGAGACATTTTTTATAGGAGATGAGTTTTTAAAATAATCTCAAATTTAAGAGTCAGCAAAAGACTTTTTGAACAAATTGATAAATAAGAACTGTAAAAAATAATCATGACCAGAAGCAGTTCATTTAAGAGGCATAAAGGATCTAACTCAACTCTGATACACTAAAACCACTAAATATATGGGCTTTCAATGCATTTGATGCAATTTGTGACTCAGGAAGTTCCTAAATCTACTGATTGTGAAAATCCGGGATTGGGCTGTCAAGAGATTTTCACTTTTGCTTTATTCTTTTACAGTTCATGGGATTTCTCATGTTTATCATAATGTTCCTTATTTCTACATCCTGTGTAGAAAATGGCCCATCTACAGAGCAATGCAGAATGCACGTGGGAGAACTGCTGTCCTAGAACTTTAAAAAGCCTTGGCCTTTCTGGAGTAGGATCCAGATCAAGATCCATCCTGATTTTTTGATTCAAACACCTTTTGTTTTAATAGTTGATGTAATAGAGAATTTACAATATCGACACTGGGCTGAACCATGTTCATTCATCCAAATTATGTTTTTTCAGAACTTCAGTTTTTAAGACTTTTAAAGAATGCTCTATGCCGTAATGGAAAAGATTCCAAAACCATAATATTTACTGACAGTCGACTGAAAGAAAAAAAGGTGGTTTTTTGCACAAGAGAAATAGATGAAAACACCTCTGTTAAAAAAGTACTCCTGCTGTGAGATATTGTTTAAAAATTGGAGAAAAAACAAAGTATGCTCCTTTAACATGTAGTTTTTTCATTACTTTTCATTTTTGTTTTACAATAAACCTGAGGATGTTTAGTTCATATCTACAAGAGTTTTGATACAAGCATAATTTAATTTGTCTGCTTTATTCTAAAATACTCTTCCCTAGAGAATTAGTTTGTATTACAAAGCAACTGAAGAGCAGCTGCTATTTTCCATGCCATAATTTTTCTCCTTAGTTGATACAAGCTTGTGTCGTACATATGAAGTCAATTAGTAGCGAAACTCCAACAGGCAAAGAATTCCTCAGTCCCATGGGATAGATTTCTGTATCTCTTAGCCAGCTGTGCAACTTGTATAAAACGTCTACTGACTGACACTGCAAAATGAGAATGAAAGGAAACCTCCTACCAGAAAAGTTTCAGGAAGTGTGTGTGTGTATGAATAATGTGGATTATTGTACATTTTCAAGTATTAGAAAAATATTATTTTTGCCGTGATATAAATTAGAAAGTTGAAGCACAGAGGAAACATGCACAAAAAGTCATTTTTTATGCATGGTCTTAAGAGAATTGTCCTTAACTTCTATAAACATATAATTTTTTCTCTGCTATATTTAAAATGTGACTGTTTCCGAGTTCCCAAAACTAAGAAATTTGGAACAAATTCAGCAACTTTGAAGCTATTAAAGGAAATGTAAAAAGGCTTTTTTTTTTTTTTTCAAGGTGTGAAAGATGCAGAGTAATTTCTGTAAAAAGGGGTAAATAAATCAAACATTTACAGTTTTCAAAAGCCGTTTTCAGATCATACGATTTACTAAGTCTAAGACTGGGTTCCAGCTGTCAAAAGGTCTAATTTATCTCTGCATTGCTATTTTTATTACCATTTGAGATCTGATTATCCATTAGCTACTTTTTTGCTATTTTGTGCTTAAATTATGTGTGCAAATTTAATTAACTTAACCTCTCACTAACTTAAGGTAGTGTGTAATATTGTTACTTCCATTTGGCAGAGGAGCAAGAGATTAGAGAAGTTACCTGACTTAACGAAAGTTAAGTATCACAGAAGTGTCCAATCATGACAAAAAGTCAATTTGCAAAATATATTTTTTTATTTGTTAGTGGTTTTCTGGTTTGGTTGTCTAATATGAGATGTGCCTCATAGGCTTCTTAAGGGAACACAGCGATTTGCCTTTTGTAAACCCACTAAACTGGGGGCAAGCTTCTTAAAATTTCTGATCCTCAAGTTCCTACTATCAAAATATAATTTGAAAAATTTTTGTCATTCTTTTATCTCCAAATGTGTTATTATTAAAACAGTAATAAAATATTTATAATCTTGAGTCAGCTAGATTCAGTAAGTGAAATATTTTTACATACACTTCAGAAAAAGCTGAATACAAAATTTCTATCAAAAATATAAAATCTAAAGATAATAACGTTTTAGCCCTTCCTAGCTGTATAATTTTTGGACATTTTTTCTAATTTTCCTCCTTTCTACTGCTAATATTTTATTTTCTCATTGACTTAATTTGAAGCTGGATGTGATTGGTGCCCCATGGGTATGGGCCTGAGGGCCTTTGTACTTTGTTGAGATGAATTTGCCTGAGATTTGCCAGACTGTTGGCCAGCATGACTCCAGCAGTCAAATAGCAAAGTCATATGGCCACGAGTCAGAAGATCCATACCTCACACCTCAGGGGCTGACGGGAGGGAAGTAGGCAGGTGGCGACAGTTGCTGCCCAGGAAGCTCTGCTGTGCCAGGAATGCAACTGGATTATTTGATGGTATTAGTTTTAGTAGCCCTAACAGTATCCAAGAGGCAGTAATTTGAGGCATCTAGCAGCCCTTGTGTGACCACAGCCTGGCCACGTGACGCAGCCTAGCCATGGAAAGCCTTCAGCATTAGAGCTCCATGTTGGTCATTGTGGGTCACTGGCTTAGGCTTTAACATAAAAAAATCTAAAAGCAGGCCAAGTATTAAAATTTCATAATAGAAGTATATTGACTTGCTTTTATGTATTATTCTTCAAAGAGAAAACAATTTGTTTAAAGGTCATTTATCAGTAGATGATAACAGCTTCTGCTGTTCTTCTGCAGAGGTTTGTGACTGCAGGTTGGGTATCAGTCTCACACAGAATGGAAGTCCATAGCATCAAAGATAAAAGTGCCTCTCTGCTAAGGCATTATCCATTCTTTCTTTCCATGTGCAATCTTGTGTGCTAAAGAAATTGTGAGCAATGATAAATGACATCTGATAGGATCTGGTAACACCTTGCTTTTCACTTTCTTTTCATCACCTGCTAGAATAGCCAGACCAATATAAATTATTTCTGGTACAAACTGCAGTCCAGAAAACATTATTTGGGGGATAACTGACTTTTTGATTTTCTAAGAATTAATAATTTCAGGTTATACTAGGTAGTTAGGTTTGACTTCTAAAGAGACTACACACATCTATGCCACGAATAGTTTTGAAAAAAGTGATATTTTTAACCTTCTTTTTCTAATAATATTAGAAATGTTTATGTCTACCTGAAGAACATAAAACTATTTCAGACAAACTGCTTTGTTGCCCCAAGATTACCAGGAAAAGCTAGTTCAGTTTTAAGGCTTTCCCTCTGTTTTGTAGCTATAGTCAAATACTGTTCAAGCCATGAGTTTATAGTGATGACAGACACTGCAGAATAAATGCAACGTGGGGATCTCTTTAGAGAGGCAAAATGGATAGCACGTAGAAGTTCATATAGTTTAGGGTGATTAATTGTTTCCCAGTTGTTTCTTATCTGCTGAAGTTTTCTTCCTTTGACTGTTAATTGTCTTGTTTGGTTGATTGCTCCTACAAGCAAACTCAAAAGGTCAACTGCTATATTTCTTACTGTGCCTAGGAGTCAAATCTTAAATCTCATAAATCTTTTAGACTCCTGTTGTGTTTTGTGGTCTGTCTTTTCCTCTGCTTTTCTTTTTCTCACAGCTAAAGCATCCCTCAACATCTCCACAGCATCTTCCTGTCAAAGTGATGAGCATATCCCAATTGGTCTGGGTTTGTGATCGTAGTCTGTGATGTTTTTGGAACTATTTCTGAATTAAATATCCATAAAATCACAAATGTGTGTCAGAATTCTGCTAAACCCATAGTCTTGCTGCTTTCATGGCCAGAGGCTACGAGATGAATAAACCCAGATTTTTGCTCTTTCGCACTGCCGTTCCCTTTTTTAATATGCTGTGCCTGGAGTGGAAGTATTAAATCTTGGCTCTTACAGTAATACTTAAGAACATTACTTCAGTTATCAAGTGTGTATGGTGAATTATTCTATTCATTACAGTAAATTAAACATACACTGAAATTGTGCTTTTTAACAAGTAAAGCATTTCAAGCTGGATTTTTAACTCAACCTTTTTTTCAGCATGACAGTGCTAAAATTATGTGAGACCTCCAAAGCAAGATCACCAAGTTTAACACATGATGGCGGTTCATGAGTTTACAGTTGAGAACATACACCCATATGCTATGACTTGTGAGACTGGCCTGTGAAGCCTGATGTCTAAATTGCATTTATGCAATTACACAAGCTTTTCTCATTTTTGTTGTTCTTGACCTTGGGTATTAGGAAATAATCAGTTTTTCATCTATTAACTCATAATTGTAAACAAGTAGGAATATGACTAAATTTGTGATTTCTGCATGGACTGTAATGTCGTTTGAAGGCTACAGTTAAATAGAGTTTAATGGCATAAGGCAATTTTTTTACCCAAGAGGAAAGTGTTTAATAAGGTCATGAGAGTTACATGAATCCCAGATGTGGCACAGTTCCATTACATTTGTCAGAGGAAGCAAACATGCAATTAGAATGTGACTACAGATTATTTTATAGGTTATGTTACTGGTTTTGAGTCCACTGCACGGAGAAGATAGTCTATAGTATTAACAGCAGTGAGGAGATTAAGAGCAATGGCTATTTCAACTATGTTGGTATTTAACCCAAGCTGATTCCACATCTTCCAGTGTTGACTTACAATCCATGTTTAGTTGAGTCTTCCATATACAAAACAAAACATTTTCTGAACCCATGAAAATATTCTGTGAGAATGATTGGTAACCAGGGACACTTGCAAGTTTTAGGAAGTCCCAAATCTTTCCCCTGAGCAGTTTTGTTACACTATATGGGACTTCTTTGGGAATAATGGTGTGGAGAACTAAGTCCTTGTGGAATGTGACAGCAAAAATCAGACGTCAAGAACATCAGTCCAGTGACAGATGTCTTGCTTTGTCACTCATCAGGGAAGTACACACTGCTAATAGTGTCCACAAACAGCATTTTTGATGCAGTTTCCCTAGGCATCCAAAGTCATTTGTGAAAGCTTTTTAAAAATGTGATTCAGTTAAATATTTATATAACTTGCATAGATTCCTTACAAAGTGAAACTTTTCTATAAACATTTATAAATTTTAGGGTTTTAAAATTAATTTTTATAGTAAGTCTTGTTAGATGGTATCAGCCAATAAAACTGCAAAAGACTTCTGTCAGTTGTTGAGTATAACTGCAAATCTATTGCCTGTATTACAGAGAAATGGAAATAAATGGTTATTATGAGAAATAAGTGATTATGGCTGAGGTGATGTTTGTATAATACAGTTATAATTGTGATGTGAATATTGCTAGGCTCAAAAAAGCTTGCTATAGACTATGAGCAGGCAAATGAAAAACAATTAACTTATAATGTGTTGCATTGTGTAGAATGTGTTGTGTTAGCATACTAAATAATGAACATGAATAACCAGTTTCTCTGTGCTTTGATTCAGGTCATGAACCTGCCAACTTCTGCAAAATTTATCAAATTAAATACAATACATTCTGCTTAGTCTTGTGAAACAAAAGCTGAACAATTCAGTTGGTATGTTTGGAATGAATTGTAGCCTCTTGAAATCATGAAAGTCTTACGGTAATGCCAGTGGAACACATTGGCATCTTATCTGATGTGATTTGCTAGAAAACAGGTTGGGTGTTGACTACGTGCTCAAGGATTTTCCTTATTTGACCATGATGAACCAGAGAGGAATTCTGCAGACAGCCTCATAAAAGGTGGTTTGCTGAAGCTCAACATAAGGAGCTCAACTTTGCCAATAGTATTAGAAGGGTGATCTCTGTAGGCTGTCTCAAGAATTAGTGGGAACAGAGACTCTTCTCCGCACCTTTCCCAGGAAGTTATTCAGACCCTAGCCTAGGAGACTTGCTAACTTAGTTAGGGAGTATCTTATCTAAATACTAATCTCAGTGAACATTTTTTTATGAAAAGGAAAGGAAAACTTCAAAGGTATGACTTGGGAACTGCTGATTCCCAGGTCAGCTCTCTTTCTGCTAATAACTACTTCTTCTTTTTTATATATAGCTTTACTGTAAGAGTCTGTGCAGACTTTGAAGGTCAAAGTATTTCAGATGAGATAGGTAAGAAATTTTTTATATTCCTATAATTTACTCTGGCCCACTCAATTTCAGATGTATTTTTTTCTTACACCTTGAAAGATGATAGAAGTGAGATCATCCTAAGGCAAGAAAATACAGTTTAAAAGACAGAGATGTATATACACAACACAAAGCTTGTATCATTCGCTCAAAGGATTTTTGTTTCAGTTTAAGCCCCTTTCCAAATAAAACCAAGAATGTACTTTATTGGAGAATGTTCTGTTTTGGAAAAAAAAAAAAAAAAAAAAAAAAAGAAGAAGAAAAAGAGACAAGTCAAAGCCCTGTACATGTATGACTTGTAAATTAAATTAGAAAGCTTAAATTACACATATTCCATACTTTGGATCAAAAACTAGTCTGCTGCTAAACAGACTAAACAGACAGGCACTTAAAGCATGGATTAATTTTACTTGGAAGACTTTGTTAAAGTAATTAACTATAATATATAATTACTTGTTTACTATATTTTCTTTCCATGTTAAATAAATAAATATTTTATTTACTTCAATCCTTTAGTGCTGAAAGGTGAATTGCAATTAGATTCATTGAAACAGAAAGGAACTGTTAAGAGGACCCTCTTCTTTGATTACCATCAGTCCCATCATTACTTCTCCATTGTGATAGAAAGACAGAAACAGCTCCATTGCCAGGACTTTCTTGTTTATCTCAGAGTAAGTTGTTTAAAATGTTTTGGACTGTCATCATCATTTGCGTAGTATCAGGGATTTAAAGATAATAATAAAAAAAGGAGGCACTGGAAAAGGAAGATCAATTTCCATTGTTCTTGGATGCCAAAATTACAGAAATGTGAAATAAGAAAGGCTGCATCTGGGTGTCCAGAACATTCTTCTACCTAGGCAAAGCTTCCTATGTAAATCTTTGACTCATCTTTTGTCAATGCAAGTATAAAAGAAAAAGTTCATTTGAAGAAGAGTGTACAATTCCTCTGTGTACAAATGCACTCATTTCATGCTCTTCCGGAAACTCTGATCAAATAGTGCATCTCCTGATACAATAATGCAAGATTGCTCTCACTGTAATATTCACAGTGGGATAGTCAACTACAAATGTTAAATGTCATGCCAGTTCAGTTTCAAAAGATATTTTAAAGGCATGTCACCAGCAATATTGTCCTAAAATGCATATATTTAAAAAAATATTTTTAGAATATTTAAAAATGTTTTTAGAAAATAAAACTGTGCAACTGAATTTGTGAAAGAGAAAGGGTCATTGATTACTCCTTTGCAGCTGGAATTACCTCATGCAATTGAAGCAGATTCCAAGGCTGGTCCTAGAAATGAACTGGGAGGTGAAATGGAGCAGTCTCCAGCAGTATGTAAGGACCTGTCTAGGCAATAAAGGTGGTGGAGTTTCACCATTGCTAATCCATATAAATTCTTGGTTATGGAGCAAACCAACAATATTATCTCCACAAATCCACACACACCCTCCCTCCATTTTGAAAGGAAGGAGGGCAGTAGCTGATAGGAGTTGGTTCTGTGTGTCTCTTTTAAACAGCTTCATTTTAGGCCAATGCTTTGAAAAAATTCAGAGTCTACTCAGCTCAGCCAGCTTATTACAGATGTGGGGCTATGGAGACAATGTGTTCTGGGCATGCCAGTTACTGGTGAGTCACTTTGCTTTCCCAGTGACATTACATACAGCCAGAATTTGGCCAGGAGCTGTCAAAGAACCGTATCTTTACCGTCATTACAGACTAAAGTCTGAGTCTGTTGCCTATACCATACTAATCCGAAATAATTATATTAAACCAGTGTTTTTTATTATGTGATTGTCATTCACAGGATGAAACAGAATTTAGAGATAAATTATCTCCCATCAATATAAACTTGAATTACAGTTTGGATGAATCTAGTTTTGAAGATAGCTTGACTGTGAAGCCGATACTGAACTATTACCAGAAAAGCTCAGTAACAGAACAGGTATGAATTTTGTATGCCACATTTTCTGTATGTAAATGTAAAAGCATTTACAAATACTGTGTGTCATCATCCTTAAAACAAAATATCATGCCCACAAATTGCACAACAAGGATTTAATTAATTCAAAATGTAAATGGAATATAAATATAGAACCAGGCAGGCCTTTAAAGCATTTTCGAAACTTTGTTGTGTTTATAGTTTTGGTTGCATTCTAGAATATATAAGCAAAGTTACTGTGGGAAAGAGCCTGAAAGATGATATTGTTCTGCTAAGGACATACTTGACAGTCTAAACAGTCTCCAACAGTATTCATGTGGAAGGGAACTTACAGAATGGAGAGAGAGATTAGTTCACCAGGGCAGTGCTAGTGGTATTTAAGACATTTAGGTTAGTGCTATTTAATGAAGTTTTTTGGACTTTGAGGCATGTACTAACTGTATTATATTTTTTTCTATTTTACAACAAACAGGCTTACATTCTGGTTGACTGCGGGGAGGACAACTTGTGCATTCCTGACTTGCAGCTTTCTGCTATACCGTAAGTTAAATAAAATAGATGATGCTGTATGTAACAAAATCCACACTTCTATCCGCCTTAAAAGAATGAAATATGTAGAACATAGTTCTGTTGTCTGCTATCGCTACTCATTATTACCTGATTTCCAGATATTAATTTGCGCATCCATTTCATCTAGAAAACCAAGAAAACACTTAAAAATGTTTTTTTGTCAGACACATTCTGATGTTTAGTGGTTAACATAGAATATATTGTTTGCAAGTCTTTGTTAGGAGTGATTCTAGTTCTCTGAATGCTAAATATAATACAAGTTGTTGTTCAAAGGAGATTTTAAATTTGTTTATTTCAATGTGCCAGTGACTTTGAGCATGGGATACAATTCTGCTGAACTCAGTACACAGTGAAATAAATGAATATCAGAACAAAAGAATTGCAAAAAAATGGCAACAATTGCTCCTATGGAGGGAGAAATATGCCAAGCAGGACTGCCACCATAACCTCTGACAGTTATCTGACTCTGTGCCATCAGAATCAGTACGTAGTTGTGAAAGGAAAGGGAAAAGAGCCATTGCAGGTCTCCGGAGATTTTCTGTCATTGTTCATTTTACAGTGGGCATGACAGGGAAACTGGAGTCCCACCACCTTTGTGCCCTCCAGAAAGCAATGTTGATGGGGCCCCTGTGGCAAGTAGTTTCTCCACTAGATACTTCTTTCTGGTTGGTAGTGGCTCTGAAATTTTATACAACCAACTTTCAAGTTCTGTGGCAGTCCAATTTGATTATCCATGGTAGTGTTTTCTCTTGACCTCTTTCCTACCCGGGTGCTGACATATTTTTCTGTGGGGTCATTTTTTTATGGAAAATGTTTTATTCTGTGTTCACAGAATATTTTCCAGAACACATGCTATGAGAGCAAAATATCCTTCTGCTTTATTCATGCATAAATCATAATTGTCCATGTTTGAACTCCTGACATGTAGTATGTTCTGAATAGAGATAAAGATCCGCTAATAATTGGAGAAGAAAACTGTGTCATGCTCATAATAAATCCAAGGAATGATGGGGAAGGAGCCTATGAAGCTGAGCTACATATAAAGATTCCACCTGAAGCGGATTACACTGGGGTTGAACGCAACAACAAGGTAAATGAAAATCAAATGTCAGCAATAATAAAGCAGAACTGAGAACAAGGTTAAACTACACAGGCTATACCACCTGAAAGCAGCAAGCAGAAAGGTGCCTCTTAGGAAGGGAGATTCCATTGACTCTCAGCTATCCTTGCTTATACAGTCCAGGTCAGGTATTAGCCATGTGACCTGAAGATGTGAAGATCAGGACCGTTCTTTTCATAGCCAGTTCAGCTCCAGCTCCTTGCTATTAACTTAGTTGCAATACCACACAAATACTGTCACATCTCTCCTAGGGTTAGAGGTATTCACATTATTCAGATTTTAAACCAGTAAACCATACCAGTAGCAGGGAGTGATAGTGCAGAATCCCCTGTGTGCTTCCAACCTTGGATCCCATGGTACCACCTCTCAGAGTCAATAATAGAATCACAGAATTATAGAAAGACCTGGGTTGAAAAGGACCTTAAAGATCATCTAGTTTCAACCCCCCTGCTGTGGGCAGGGCTGCCAACCACTAGAGCAGCCTGCCCAGGGCCCCATCCAGCCTGGCCTTGAATGCCTCCAGGGATGGGGCATCCACA